TTTGGGAATCCAAACAGAAACAACACTATGGTTGCACATGGGATTCCAGAACGGCCAGGTGACCGCTCGGTTGAAGATCGGTGCTACCACGACGTCCAACAATAGCAGTGGCTCTCGACCACAGTCCTTTTCGACGGATACCGGCTAACAGTGTCAGCAAACCGCCGGGACCAGCGCATCCGAAGTCCATCCCCACTCTCAGACTACTCGCCACCCAATTCGACTCACACGCCCCCCCACAGACGTTTTACACACATGGTATAATGTGAAAGGCCGCATGGGTGGCTCAACACGCATGCGTTTTCACACATGCCTAGACTCACGAAGCAAGAGGAGATACGGCAACCACCAAGACCTCTGGAGTCAGTGGCCGTCACACAGGCACTGACCAGCGGGTGAGGACTGGCGACGCTAGACCCAACCACGTAAGCGCTTCTCTCGCGAAATTACATAACCAGACCCCCCCCTGACCAGGCACACTCTAAAATGTATGTACAGCAACGTTAGGGGGCTAAGAGGGAAGGTAGCAGAGATGAGGACGCTGCGTGAACATCAGCACTTTGACGTCATATTTACCCCAGAATCCTGGCTCTCGCCGGGCATCTCCGACGAAGAGATGCATGTCTGTGGCATGGAACTCTTCCTCAGGGACAGAGAGCTCAGAGCAGAGAGAGTGGACCATGAGGGACTGTCTCATGAATGCATCATGGCTGGCAGACTGGGCTCATCTCACAATAGGTGGACACTGGTTGGAGGTGAAGAAAATAATCACTGGGGTTATCATTCACAGTGTACCACAGGTAATAAATAGACTGTCAGTGAGAACCTAATGGCTAAAGTGTGGGACAGAGAGGCTTATCCAGGGCAAGAAGCAGGCTTGGTTTAGGTGGCGTTCATCACTCAGGAAGTCTGACTTTTTGAACGGCAAAAGGATTCACAACCGCTGTAACATTAGAGTGCGTAGCGACAGATTTTCCTATCAAACAAACCTGGCGGGAAGGCTACAAAGTAATCCCAAAAACTTGTACCGCTTCATGTCAAGAAGGAAGTCGGCCAGTAAAGGAATGAATCTTGTCCCAGGTCATGGTGGGAGTATAGTAGGCAGTCTAGAGATCGCCGGGCTTTTGAGCTCACACTTCCAAGCCCAGCTTAGCACCGACACAAAATCCACACCTACTCTTCACGACACCGACCAGGTCGTAAATAACGAATACCTCTGTCATATCTCAATCACAGAGGAAAAAGTGTTCGAGGAACTAGCTGGGCTACTTCCAGGCAAGTCCCTCGGCTGCGATAACCTAAAATCAGTGATTATAAAAACCGCTCCCAGGCGCTTACAAAACCACTCTGCAACCTCTTTGAGCATTCATTAGAGTCGTGCAAACTCCCTAAAGAATGAAAGAGCGCCATCTTGCCACCTATCTTCAAGGGAGGGGACAGAAAAAGCCCTGGCAGCTACAGGCCAATTGCTCTACTCCTTATTGTGTCGTAAGTGTTGGAAAGCTTGGTAGCTGACACCATCTGGGAATTCCTCAATAGGAAAAACACTGTGCATACTGCTCAGCATGGATTTCGGAGTGGTCGTTCATGTGCCACCAACTTACTAACTACCTAGGACAACTGGACACTAAGCTGGGATAACAGAGAACCGGTACATGCTGTATTTCTCGACCTAGCCGAAGCATTTGACAGTCTCCCACCCACAGTTCTGCTTCACAAGATCATATCACCTGGTATAAGTGAACCCCTATTCTCTTGGTTTAAAGAGTGCCTGGAAGGGAAGCAGTTGTGCACCAAGGTGAACTGAATAAGGTCGGGGTGGAGACCTTCGATGTCAGGAGTGTCCCAAGGAGCAGTCCTAGGACCATGTGTGTTACTCCTGCTTATCAGTGATCTGTTAGACAAAATATCTTCATCGATCCTCCGCTTCGCTGATGACATTAAAATTTGGAGGGTGGTAAACAAAGAAGCTGACTGTACAGCACTATAAAAGGACTTGCAGCAACTCGAACTCTGGTCGTCGGAAAATGGCCTGAGCTTCAACCTGGAAAAGTGCAAAGCCATGCACATCAGTAAATATGAATCATGTACGACCGACTTCCGGTACATGTTGAGCAACCGTGCTATCACCAGTGTCCATAGAGAAAGATTTGGGGCTCAACTTCTCCGACACCTTGAACACCCAGCTTCAACTACAAAGACATGGCAACCAGAGCGGACGCCACTTTCTGCGTAGACAGCTTGGTGCCCTCACCCCCGAACTCTTCCTCGCCACTTTCAAATCCTACGTGCGGCCACACCTAGAGGTCTTTAATACGGTGGCCCCTCCAACACTCAAGAGGGATTCTAATCTCCTTGAAAAAAATACAAAGAGCTGCAACAAAATCAGTAGTGAGGCTAAGGGGGGAAGGCAATCCCCGAAGGACTAAAACACTTAATTATTCACCTTGGTTCATCGTAGGAGGAGTGGTGACCTTATTATGGCCTACAAGATTGCCCATCAGGCAGCCCATGCAAACAAATCAATTTTGTCTGCAACACAGCGGTCTTCACCAGGAAACACTATTAAGATAGCACATCAGACAACCAATACCATATTCAGGTCCAATTTTTTCTCCCTGAGAGTATATGCTTTATGGGATGCCTTACCGCGACATATCGTCGTAGTCCCCCTAGTCGACTCATTCAAGAGACGGTTAGACAGTTATGTCACCCCACATAGTCTACCGCGGATGTACTCAGCCAGTCACCTCACCTCACTAGACCACCCTCACCTCCCTCCTACCTACCGCTCACTATCTCGCCCTTTAATACACCCACATTACCTACTAGTTCTTTTCTAGGAAATAAACCCACGCTGCCCATTTTCACGATCCGGGCAATTCCCACATACCTTACTTTTCTTTCTCTCTTGTTTCTCTTTTTACCCCTCCTTTTCTTCCCTTATTTTCTCTTTTCTTCTTCATTCTTTCACTACTACCTTACTATTCTCTTCCAGGTGCCTAAACAGACAGAAGTCACGATGGTTCTCTAAACTTTCCAGCAACCCGTAGCTCTCCAGCCACTCTTCAAATTATAACTTGCTAACCCACACAACATCCACCTCGCCGAGGCTTAAAGCAAGAAAGCAGAGGGAATTTCCCCGCCCACTGCAGGAGTGAACGGAACAACTTGAACCAAGCCCTAAGAATTAGACGCGAGTGATCAAAATCTATCAGTTTTCTACATTCGCGCTATGAATATTAGAATATATTGGAGTTTGAGAAGCTCATTTTGACCACAGCTCCGGGACAAATCGACTACTTTCCTATATATTTAGCAAATGCCCAACTTTTTAGTTGCGAAGGTCATGGAGGGGGTCATGGATGTCTCAATTCGTGGTCACGTACTTCAGAAATCAACCGCAAACGACTTCCAGCGTGGCTTTCTACCAGGAGGGTCATGTATCATCAACTTGTTGATAGCCTGGAATAGCTGGACACTCTGTCGAGAAGAAAAAGCCTATGCACATTGGTTTACTTGACTTTTCTAGGGCCTTTGACAAGGTAAATCACGATATCCTTTGTGAGAAACTCCAGCTTATGGGTGTACACGGAAGATTAATAATCTGGCTTAGAGATTATTTGTACACCAGGGTGCAGTCAGAGTTGGCTCCTCTGTATCTAACTGGTTCCCAATGCCATGTGGTGTGCCTCAAGGTTCCATACTGGGCCAACTACTGTTTCTCGCTTTTATCAATGATCCACCAGGGGTCCTTAATTCACATTCACTATTATATGCCAATGATCTGAAGATCTGGAGGGAGATACAGGAACCAACGGATATTTCGATCTTCCAGGAGGACCTTAAGAAAACCCTTAATTAGACTACAGAAAACCTGCTTCCTCTCAACTCGAAGAAGTGTCGAATTATGATAGCTGACAAACACAAAGGCGGTTCCAGTTCTCACTCTCTAGGTGAAATAAATATCTGTCACTCTAACGTGGAACAAGATCTGGGAGTTACACTAAATGATGCAGTAGGAGCCTCAGTTCACTGTCGCCTTGCAGCCAATAAGGCTTATGGAATCCTGGGGTTTCTCTCCCGAACTTTAGGGTGTCTAACTCCTTCTCCTTTCACCACAGTGTATGCCCTGTACATTTGTCCTCATCTGGAAAAAATTCTGTCGTAATGTCCCTATACTTGAAGAAGGACATTGCCATCCCAGAACGGGTACAGCGAAGAGCTACAAAGAAAGTGATTGGGTTATGGCACAAACCGTACCCAGACCACCTAGTTGCTCTTCAGCTGCACCCAGCACAATACCGGAGGATCAGAGGGGATATGATCATGATGTACCTCATCTCCCATAATCCCCTCCATCCCAACAGATCCCTTCTAAGCTCTAGTCGGAAACGCGACCTGAGGGGTCACCCGTTAAGAACAGAGCATGAGAGAGCACGTACAAAGATCCGTGCTAACTCATTTGCAGTTAGAGTCTGTAGACTGTGGAATTCCCTCCCTTCAGCAGTTGTTACGGCCCCATCCCTTGATACCTTTAAAAGGAGGCTAGACGCACACCTCGAGTCCTACGGTACCGATGGGCTATACTCGAGAAGCTTTCCCCAGATCAGATACAGTAATACTAACTTGAGACCAGATTAATTAATCAATCTTATCTCTATCTTTTCAGGTTTTTCAGAACTGGGAAGATAATTGTGACCATTCCAAACTCAGAAAGTATTCCAATAAGACAGATGTAGAACCCAAGGAACCGCAGTTCACTAATTCTACAACATGAAGTTTGAAGTTTGTTACCTGTCAGGTTTACACAGCTATAACAGCCGAATGGTTAGACCTACTGCATCGAAGTCCACTAAAGACCTAGAATCTTTCTACTAGAGTAAATCAGTTGGCTCATATGAGCCAGCATGACAGACATTGTGCATTGGTTTCATGAGCGGTTTGTTTGAATGGGCTAAGAAAACTGAAGAGGGTTTTGTGCCTAGAGGTCGCAATCAATGAGGTGAAGTTTTGTCTTATTATTGTTCATGTTGGCCTAGTGATAATAGTCACCAAGCTTTATCTTGGGTTTATTAGTAGTACAGTGAACAAGTTGTTTAGCTAACTGATATAGCCTTATTAAGCTATGATTTGGAAGGACTCGACCGACGTCGCTTCTCTGGTATTGAAAGATGTCTCATAGATTTTGATGGTCACCATTTATTGTGATGCAATATATTTATGTGTAGTTCCGAATACCTAGATATCTGGAGGATAGTAATTCGCATCAAAGTTTAGATGAGTGTCTGGGTGTTGACAGTTTGTTTCTTTTTACCACGTTTACGAACTGCAGTTGCTAGTACTTTCAGTGTGACAAGCTGGACTGGTGATAATGTAGTGTCAGACAGAAATTCTTGCGGAGTCATTTGAAGACATCTTAGATAGGTTACACTGGTGACGAAAATACTTTTTTAGTTGCATTTTCTGGGCCATGCCTGTTCTTGACTAAATGTAATCTTGAATTTCACCTTGTCAAAGCCTGATGAGTAGTATCTTACCCATCCTGGGAATCGCTTAAGAGCGATACGATTCTGTAAGCCTATCACTACTCCATGAAAGCCACAGGTCTACTAAGTACGGATTCCAGATTGTTGACTTTAGACCACTTTCTTGTGGGGCTGATATAGAGGATAATGCAAATGATTTATGTTAAACCACGAAATGGGGAGTTTTGAAGAAAGGCGGAAATAAACATTCGTCAGACATTTGCTCCAATTTCATCGGATCATCGTTGTGGTAGGTAACCTATAGTAGGAATTATTGGTAAATATTGATAAACTTCATGTTATGGAACCTCGTAGTATATGGTGAACGCACTCCCGACTTATTGCTTTCAACTTATAAACTGAAAAGATGTAGATCTATATTTTGACCACTGAAATATGTTTTTGATTGAATTGTGTTCAATGTATTAAATATCACCTGTTTTCCGAGAAACTTGCATGTTGATACAGCATCAAGAGAGTGTTAATGTCAGCAGTTAAGAATGTATGATATTTGAATCGAATAAATATAGGCATTAGGAAATGAATGAGGAATACCACACTGATCATTTCATCTGTTGTGCTTCACTCCCCACTATATAATGAAAGTTGGTATGAAACTTATCAAATTTTTAGATCTGAAATTGTTTTATATTATGAACATAATACAGAGTCAACATGAAACGGCCGAATAAAACGTCATCATTAGTTAGCACTTTAAAGTAATGCATTAGGACTGTAGTTTAGGCATTCGTCTCCAATCATTAGGTTGTACATGTTGGTTCACCTCTGTCCTCCGGGACGTTTGAACGCATCCATTTTTGTTTAGTAGATAGGTGTGGAGTAGTTGAGTGAATTTCACAGGCAGCAAATTCAGTCGAGGAAAAATTTCCCAATAAATGCAGTAAGTAACTTAAAATATTCTCGATTATCTCTTTTAGTCCGGTGAGACATTGGTGTGCAGCTTTTCCATCATTCAGTACAAACGCTAACTTTTGTGAGGCACAATATATCAAACCAAAGTAATTAATCATAGGTGCAGAAACTGTTCAACTACGTGGCTGACAACACTGAATTTCCTATCATATACCATTTTGTGTTCGTGAAGTCCATTTTTTCCTGTCAGCGAAAGTCCTGTTCCGTAGAAGCGCACGTTTCATGTAAAGTAAGTTGCATAAGCACTTATCAGCTTATGAATTGGTAACTTGGATTTATTTGTGCTACTGTTCAGTAAAGATGTGTGTAAAAGTTCACCGGAACTTGCCTGCTCTCAATTTGAAATATTAACGTTTGTTGAAATAAAGTGGAAATATTTTTAAATTAGTTCGTATCCTTCTCTACCAATGCTGCGTAACTGCAGTTACGCATCCCAGTTCTTACCAGGATGGGTATGGAGAGTTAGGAAATGAATAAAGTCATGTGGCCACTGTTGTCGAGCCATAGGTCGTATGGATACACACTGGTCAATTTATTCCCAAGTTGTAAATAGGTTATTTTGTTTTCAGCAACCGTAAGGACCACGCTTCTATGCATATCAGTTAGTCACCGTAAGCAAATGCCAAGCGAAGCAAAAGGAAGCCCTCATGGTGCCCGATCAGGTTGATTAGTAACTTGAGGTGCACTATATCACCTATCACAAATTTGTAATCTCTTCATGTGTTCGGGGTTATAATTATCTTATCTGCAGTTTAACTTTTTCTTGATTAACTTAATCCCCAACATCGTACTCCTTTTTCGTCTTTTACCATTGTGTAATCCAGCTCGTTGTAGACAATGTTCTTTCAAGCTATAAATCGGGAGATAAAAATTGATTTCACCTTCGGTTTAAGTAACCAGGTAGTATCACCAGCTCACGTTAATTATGGGCCATAGCCTAGTACGCAAACTTGTAACAGCTTACTCATTTGTACTACTTGCATATCTTACTGTTCAGAGGTATGGACATCCAAACTATTGTATATCTATATTAGGTTTTCCGTTGAAAAAGCTAGGATATTCCTCCATCAAGTGGTTTAGTAATTACAGAAGGTGATAGAATATTCTTTTTTGACCGAGTTTATTTTTGCAGTTGGTATGCTTTTTTATGAGACTTCTCATCAGGCGTCTCAACACAAACAAACCCTCGTAGTTGGAATGGTTGGGGAAGCCATAAGGTCAAGTTTTCAATAGTACTTCTAATCTACCCTATCAAGAGATAAATAAGGCGTTCATAATATTCATGTTTTTTGTCACGACATATTTGCTACGACCTACTATTTACAACTATTTGACAATACGAATTCCTCAATTTGAGATGTACTATCTAGGCATGCTTGCACTCAGTATTATTATGTTCTTTTTAGGAAACCAAGTGTCTTATGATAAAGCCTTAATATTTTAATATGAGCAGCAGGATTTGATGATACCAAAATGCGTTTGGTTTGATATAATCTTTGCGGAAATGGAAGTTATTGAAAAAAAGCCACGAAACAGTCAAACAAAAATATATAGAAGAATTTATCCCATCAATAAGATTTTAGGTTATAAAATTGAAAATTGAACTCTGTCATAGCGTTTATAATCCTGTGGAAATCCTAGACATAATATCATACTCCTACTTACCCCCTTTTTCAAATTATTGCCATGAATTATCTTTCTGGATACCTAATATTAAGTATAGTTGATCTGGAGTCGGTTGGAATGGAGTGGACCTTTTCATAAGTAAAATTTACTAAGACAAGTTTGATGAAACCACAAATGGTCTATAAAATTCGGAAGTTCATAAGTATATATTTTAAAGTAGTTTTAGTAGTTTTCTACTCTATATTTTAAAAACTAAATCTTTATTTAGTGTATACGAAAAAGTAGTTAGATGCAACTCTTTTGTCACTGAGCAGGTAAACGCGTAACCTGACATTTCGTACTTTACAACTAGTTAAAAGAAGTCCCTGTTTTGTTTAAATTGGTCAAGGGGACTAAATTATAAAATTTCAGTCTGTTTAATTATGATTATGACGCATAGATTGACACTTTAACTCAAGTTAACTACTGTTTATATCTTGAAACAACTTTTATATACCACTTGGCGTTGCTTGATAGATTGCATATTTCACCATACTTACATTTTTCTCTCAGCTAAAAAAGATAATCAGTCATGTCAGTTCATTCACCAGTCACTGCAAACACCATTATTAGAACTGCTCGATATTCAACTACTGGCAACCATCACGGTAGTTTCCAGTCATTCTCCAGCGGTTCAAAACTTTCGCGTCAATTGCAACAACCTCATGTCACATTGGTTGAGTATAAGTCTGCTCATTTTCTGATTACTGATGAACCTAATACATGCAATATGGAAAATTTTGTGATGGTACGTTTTGTTTATTTGTTATGTATACTGACTATACTGACTAAGAGTTCAGAAAATTCTTTTGGTTTTGCGAGTTTTCTTGACCTCGACTTCAGACTTGATTCCGTCTCCGCTGCAGTGTGAAACACAATAATTACTAAATGAAGTCTGCTATGATAGTGTTAACAGCAAGCGAAGCTCACAGAATGTCTTACCTAATCCCTATAACAAGCGATGCTATTGTATGTTTTGAACTTCATAATGATAGAAATAATCGGTTGGAGATTCCTGGTAGTGTGGTTCAAAATCAATCATAATGTCACGGATATGCACCCTTTTTCTCATCAAGGTTTCGAGCATCTCTACAAATCGTGTATTTATTTTCTCTTCTCATCATTCCTTCTATATCTATATTTTTGTGTTCTGCTGCGAACTACAGTAACTTCAATCGATGGCATCGTGCTTAAGGTTCTTTATTCACTTGCTTGCCTGTCCGTCTCTCTATCTGTCAAACCAACTATATGAACGCTAACTATGGACTACGATTTCATTGGTCAGAGGATATCAGACAATGTATGTCGAGCTGGCATCATTCAGTGTTCAAGGTATTTAACCACCATTACCTCTTTCAAATTATGTCTTGTGAAGTAAACGTGTAACTAGTGTAGAGGTTGGACACCAAGTTCTGGATAACGAAGTTTTAAGCTCTAATCGACGAGGACAACTGAAATATGTTGTGCATTACAAACCACCATCTACATCACCTGTTGAAGTAGGGTTATATTAAAAGAAAGCTAAAGGTGACGAGACCGGGACGTAGCACCGTAGCGTGATCGATTGCTGCTACCTTGATGTGATGGTCGAGCTTGCCTACCATAATGACCCAACGATTTACATTGACTGTTCCCTTAAGGTCTATTAGAAAAGCAGCTACCGTTTTAATGTAGATTACTGCTGTATGATGGGCGTCTGAGGGCGAAGTCTTACTGCTGGCTGGGTGGGGTGTGACAAGAGTAGGATGTTTCCCTTGGATGACCAGCAGTGTCACTCTGATTCTGCCCTCCCTGTGGGAGGGGGTTGATTAGAAAAGGTTGGACCCAAAAATAGGACCCCCCACAGTCTTCCAGTTCTGACGGTGTGGGTTTTCTCTATCCGGCTTTAGAACAACCAGATCTGTAAACAACAATCCGCTAAGGCTATGTGACAGACCTCAAGCAGATGTCTCTTGAACTCTGTGGTCATACAAATATTTTTCTCTTTCAGGTTACTTAAGAAATACCAATCGATGGGGTCTCTGACAGTTTGTCTATGCTGTAATAAGGGATCCGAACCTTGGAATGCAATTCCGTGAGATAGCCGCTGTCGATAGTTGGGACGTCTAGATAATCCGGCTCGGAATTGGACGCAGTTTGCTGTTACATTCACACTTTGTCATTTACTTTAACCCCTTGTCTTCTTATCCTATAACTTAAGACTATAATATTTGCGTTTCTTTCTTCTTACACTTTTATGCTGTATTGCATAGTCTGAACTTACTACATTACATCGTAATGCCACGTCTCATGTTGATGATAATAGCCGATTAGGTGAATTCACAATAGTACATTTTCGCTTTTTTATTTCTGTCTCTCGTATTACAGCATGACTCATACATGTCTGCATCAGGTGGAGCTTTGGTTAACAAGTTGACTAAGTGCGTTCCTTTTCGTTTCGTTCGGCATCAGATTTTGCTGTTTCCAGATGGCAGTGATGCCATGACCAACCAATTTTATTTTCTTTTAATGAACTCACCACCAATTTCACTGTTCTCAAGGGTGAAAAGAGAATAGGGAAGTTTAACTCTATCACACCTTTTTTTGCCGCCGTGATATCCGATTGTCTATTAAGGTTCGTGTGTACTGCACAGCAGTCCGCTCTGTTCTACTGTATGACTGTGGAACATGGCCATTGAAGATGGAAGACATAAGAAAGCTTTAGGTGTTTAACTACCATTGTCTGCATAGTACCGGCCGCATTCCGTGATGTCACCACGTCAGTAACGCAGAAGTGAGGTGTAGAGTTTTAGGGAGGAGAAGTAAGACAGTTGATGCTATTGTGAACCTTGATCGACTGAAATGGCTAGCTAGTACACGTGTTACGTATGTCTAACCACCATCTCTCTCGTCACAATGTTGACCGAAGTACATTCACTTTGGAAAAAGGCTCGAGGTGGCCAGACTAGAACATTGCACCAACGTATAAAGTGTTTGACTGTTGGCTTGAGCCATGTAGGGTGATGCAGACTAACCGGTCGAAGTCCGGAGGACAAGAAAAACCGGTGGTAGTTGAGGACTCCAGGTGATATTGTGGCTGGGAATTGATGTCAGTGGCGCAGATCTATACACACATTATCCTCATCTTGACGCCATACGGAGTCGCACCATTTTCTCATTCTTCCTTTCGCTCTTTTAGTACTTTGTATTTCTTTTAACTGGATTTTCTTTTCTTCATCTTCCACTTCACTGCCTTTTTACTTGATGTGCTGATATGAGGTGCGACAACTCGGACCGTTACTCAGTAATGTCTCATCCTCATCTGTTGATTTGGATGGATAGACACCTTTTTTACGCCAGCAACAAATTTATATTTTATATCTATTTGTGATCTTTTTACAGCCTTACATATTAGAGCGGAGACCATATCACAATCGTTTCTGTATACTCAGTTGGACAGCATTTACAGGCGTGATTTGTTTACTTCCATTAGATTGTTTTTGTCTATAGACCGATTTCATTTATATCAGCAATCAGGCTTATCTGGTTTTTGATCCTGCAAATAATTGTAGATTATCGAGTTTCTGTACTATTGGTACCATGAATACTATGCGTATTCCTAGTCACTGCAGTAACACAGGCTGGTTTATTGATGCTTACTTGTCCTTAAAAAGAAAGAAACTATGCACAAGTAGTTAACAATGTATGAAAAGTAGACCTAGCAAAATGCGAAAACTACACGGAGCGATAAGCTAATATGATATAGTTTTAAAGGGTTGGAAAGAAATGATTATAGGAAAAATACAAAGTTACTTGAGGAATCGCTAAGAAAATAATTTAGGCGGTAGACTGTTGTACATTGATTGACAGGTTTAAACATCCCATCTGCTATGGGTCAGGAAAACTTGGTTCCAGCGCTATTTGACATCCAAGTTACTCACTATTCTCGGGATTAGGGTAACTTTTGGAGATTGGAGATAGTCTATGCACTTGAAATAACTAACCCTTGAGGTCATATTTTTTTTGTCTTGAAAATTTTGATTTACACTTTTGAAAGATGATATTTAAAACAAGCAACAAACGTAATTAAAGCAGGATTTATTGAATTAATTCATTTCAGTAGAACTCGTTAGCTTTTTACTCTACATACATGATTTTATATACTGTTATGCAATAAAGGAGTACATACACACAATACAGCAGACTAAGACATTGACTGAGGCTTTGACAACACTGAGTGAATCATTTACTTATGTCAAACAGAGCTAGAATTAGGTTTGGAAGGGGGTAACGAATTGATAAAAAAAAATAAAAAGACTAGGGACGAATTACATCATTTTGAACAGTTAAGTTAGTAGTCAACTAGATAACTTGATAAAGGTACACACTAAGAGAACATAAGTGTTAGGTAAACAAAAATGTTGATTGTAGTAGTAATAATACAATTGAGTGATAATGATTGCAATGAGAATATGAATATTGAAAATATTAAAAACCACGTCATTTTGAAACAAGATAAATGAACACCAATTAAGAAGCTTGGTAACAATGTAAAAGTAAGGAAGACTAGAGTAGTGGTTGGACAATAACAATGGAGATAAGTCATTTGGCTAGTAGGCAGAGAAGTTCAAGAAGACAAGATAATACAGCAGAATGGTAGTGAAGAGGTAAATATGCGAAGTATAGGAAGAAATAAAGTGGAGAAATGAGACATTTATAAATACGAATAAATAAGTTCAAAATACTTCAACACCTGTACCATGGTAGATTCAGGAGGACTACCATCTCTTCTGTACATGTAGGCTTTGTTTACGAACTCCAGTCTCACATACTTCCACGATTACAAGCATTTTCTTATTACGCTGTCTGCTGACAATCGAGATCTTAGTGATGCCAACATCATGTCCATAATCCGTTACGTGTTTCGTAATCGAACTCAATGGGATTTGTGACTCGGCTTGCCTCAACCATTTAGGTAAATGCTCAATCATGCTAGTAGACAGACGCCTTTCCTTATGACCTATGTATTTGCTTCCACAAGTACATTCGAATTGGTATATATGGTTAGATGTATCGAGGATTGTAGTAATGTCTTTTCCTGATTGTTACAACACCTACCTGGTGATACTCAAAAGTACTAGCTTAGCTGCATAATGAGTCCTTTTGATGGTCTTGTCTAGTCTTCACTTAACTACTTCTAAGATATCGTCTCCTTTAAAAGGCAGTTTAATAAGTACCGACGTTTCTGGAATCGTATGAAATGCTGTTTCACACTGTGTACTTTTCCAATACTTATTGACAAAGCCTTCAGGGTAGCCATTTTTAGCTAGGATATGGTTCAGTGTTTTCGTTTCATAATCAATGGTGCTGTCAGAGAAAATTTTCTTTGCTCTATCAAGTAGGGTTTTGATTAAGTTCCTCTTGAAAGATCATAGTAACTTAGATACAGAACTAAAGAAATTTAATAACATAACGTACAGAGAGAGAGATGGTAACTATAGTCTCATCGTCATCATCATCAAGTAACAAGGCAATAGAATGGAATGGGAAGAAGGAAGAAAAATTGGTCAAAAAGTAGAAAGTAGTAAAAGAGGGGAAAAAAGGCATGAGAAACTGATGAGACTAAGTTAAGATGGTTAAGATGAAGATAATGTGTGTGTGTGGAAACATATGCGCTGCTGACATCAGTTTTGAGCCATATCACCTAAAGTCTCCAACAACCACTGGTTTTTCTTGTCCTATGGACTCCAGCTGGCTAGTCTGCATCGCTCCAACAGTCAGGAATTCATGCATTGATGCCATGTTTTAGTCTAATAATCGTTTTACTTGTTGCTACGATATTTGACGGGAAAGATGAACTTGAGCTTATGAACTTATGAATAACCTGGGCAATGAGAATATTTTGTAAACGATTTTTCTCAATAATAGATACGAGTTACAGAAGTGTAGAAGACTTAAAAATCCTGGCCAACTCTTTCATACTGTTAAAATCATGGTGGATGTAACCCTTTGAACATTGTTTACTGTTCAGAGTAAGTTGTTCTCTGACTAAGGGTTTTCATTGGCAAACATTTCAGTGTCGTGCTGGACACCATCATCAGTGTATCAAAGCCTTACTTCCTTGTGACGGTGTCTGTTTCATGGTCACATTCTCCTCATTATATCGTATCCACCTTCCACCCATCATCATCCTATCATCACTTCATACAGTCAATTAATTCATAAATTTGCCCCCCCCCTCCCGTCCCCCATCATTTACACCAATGAACTGCAACAAACAGAAGTGATACCATTTCTGGTCTATTTAAAGTCACTGCCTGTTACAAGATTTCAAATGAGATATTTCCTACTTTGTATTTAGGTTTGTAAACTACACAATGTGCGCAAGTTGGTTCGTGTGTGTAAACCTACCTACGATAAAGAACCGCTGGAAAGTGCTGGAATTGAAGTTGTCGTAAGTTGGTTGTTTACGCTTAAGTTATTGTAACCATTTCTTACTTGGTTGTTATTATCGTCTATGAGTTATGGTTAGTCTCATAAAGACGTATCGAGAACTGCTAGTTGTGAATACGCAATAGTCGTGTCAAAGCGTGAATATTATTATGATCACCTGATTGGGTTACAACAGCTGCAGAGGATGCAATGACCATGATGGATGTTCATGGAGAAAAGCGCCCGGTTCCTGTATATATGTACTTTAACGGGATATAATTTGAAGTATATCGAGTTTTGTATATCTATGTGCCACTGTTTGGTCAGTGTCTCTAAGAACTGCCACTAAGAACTGAATCAAAGAGTTCGTAATTCACTACTTTGTTTTTCCAGCTTTGTGATATATTCATACCAGGTGATAAGTGAAGGTGGAGTGAAAACCTGAGCCGCTGCGGGATTCGAGCCAGCGACCATCGGACAGGCTTCCGTCCCGGTACTCTACCAACTCAGCTACGAAACCCGACTGTTGATCAGATTTTTATTTCACTTCCATGTGATACATGGACAGGTCTATCTGTAACAGTGTGATAGTGACCCGATGCATCATCGATCCATTGGAATCTTGCAACTAAGCTACCTGAGCACCTATGTATCTACGGCATACTTGTAGTATATATGTCTTCTTTAATCACTTTTATTGTAGTCTAAACACAGAACTGCTATTCGACTTTGAATATGGGAACAATATCGTCTCACTGTGCGAGAATACACAGGCTGTTCGAACCGCACTTAGTGAGTTGAGGATTACTGTACCCTGAGCTAAGTATGGTATGTGCGTTTTACATCATCGAAGTACAAAGTACTCTTGCAAGATTGACAGGAGGAGCCTGTATCTGTGCTCACCCTTGATGGTGAGCCTTTGGAAGTGGTCGAAAAGTTGTTTGTGTATCTGGGTAGGTGTGTGGGTGATGAAATTTGCAACCGCATATGAAAAGCCAGAGTGGCATATGTGTCAATCCGGAACACCTTTGGCGCCATTGCGACGTTAGTGTGACCTTGGAAGGTTGGGTTTACAATGTTTCAGTGTGAGCAGTTCTGCTGTCCTCCTCTCTGAGCTGAGGATGTGCGACGACTCTGTGTGTGTGTGTGTGTGTGTGTGTGTTCGATCACCGTTTTCTCCATAGGATTTCTCGTGTTGAGTGGCAACACGATGTAAGTAAGTAAGTGATTCTGAGGTACGACAGTGTGTGTTTGGGTATGAGGGAGATCGTCATTCACTGAGTGAATTCATCTGTAAATACAGGCTTCGATGGCCTGAACATGTGTTACACATGTCATCCCGACAGCTTTTATGCCGTCCATTGTTTGCTAACCCTGAGACTGTATGGCATAAACGGATTGTTGTTGAGTGTATGACGTGACGCCGTGGAATGAAGGATAGTTGTATTGGGTTCGGATCTGTTGGTTGACACGACTGTTTGGTTTTGGTCGGAGAGATGAGACAACTCAGTGACTTGAGACGTTATGAGATATGTGTGAGAATCGAAAGTGGTGGTGGTGGTGATGATGATGCTGTATCTTCCTTCTACTATCTTGTGTTGTTGAATAGTGATGAATGCACGTTACTGGATCCCCCTTTCTAATCATCCTATTCTTATTATGTTTTTCATTTTTATTCGTCTACTTTCTATGGTTTTATGTCTTCACAATGTTGTTGTCTTACTTTGTGTGGCGCATTTCTTGATGCAATTACTGTTACCACGTGTTGTGTTCTAGTAATAATAACTAGACACTGACTAACCCCGGGTCAGTTGTGGTAAATACAAGTCACTCGGCGGCAATTCCTGTTACATCAAATGCAAGGAATTTTAGCCCATCTTGTCACAGGGTCTATCAGTGTTCATTACATATTGAACTCGTTCAATTTTTGTTTTTCTTTATTTGTACCAACCCTTCTAAATTTGAAATTTATAGTCTGATCTTGACTGTTTTTCTTTCACAAAGATAAAAGATTAGAGCTATGTGATCAAGATTACTCTGAGTGAGAATGCTTTAGGACCAGTCTGAAATTACTCTCAGTTGAATGATAGGGAGTAAAGCAGTGGAATATGTTGACCGCTTCACTTACTTAGGTAGTCGCATCAGCCTGAACAAGCTGGTTGCTTACGAAATCTCTGCTCAGATACAAAAAGCCTACTTGACACACGCCGACTTCAATCATCTCTGATGTCAAATGACCAGATATCTGACTACCTGTTAAAGCACAGGTATACTGCGCTTCAGTCTGTTCCGTCCTGCCAGGTAGTAGATATGAAGGGGTTACAGGGTTTCAATCACAAATTTCTTCTTAACATTGCTTGATCTTGATACAGTCACTCTGGGAGCAATCATGAGGTCAGGAGAAGAGTACTAGGCAAGACAGACAAGTCGATTGGTTAGGTTGTAAACCTTCATTGACTGAGGTGACTTTGATGTGTAGTGTGCATGCCAAACCACCGCCTACCTAGCCGTGGCATGTTGGAAGAAGTTGGAAGAGGGTTCAGGGTGGCCACACCAAGATATGGCACTAGCTGATGAAGTCCCCGACTGTTGGTGTGAGCTGTGTGTGGAAATGTAGACTGCTTGATGAGGGTCCCCGAGACGATAGGAATCAGTGGTTGAAGTGTCTTGGTGACATGACTGGGAATCGATCATAATGGTGTAGATGTATTCACTCCTTAATATCTTCTAAAGCTTTACCACTCGTACTAACCGTTATCATTAAGATTGTTTATTCTATCACACACCTTTGTCTACTCTGATAAGACTTTTTCTATCCACCTGTTCAGTGTGTACTGCTGTGAAGTGTAACAACGTGAGCTGATTCCGTGTCTGTACAAGGTTCTACGTTATTTTTGTCAGTCAGCGAATCATTGTTTGTCTTTGCTTTGTCAAGTTTTTACCTGATGACACTTTACTTGCCGGCATTGGACCAGTAGAAATTGAACTTCTCATTCTTTCTGTGTTATCTGATCACCATCTTTTGTTATCAAGATGTGCTGGGTGATACCCTGTGAAATTTGTGTTATTCTATCCATGGGATGTTCTAGCTGATTTAAGAATATTTCTGGTTGCTTTAACAGGTATTCTTTGCATTCACATACTGAACAGAGTTTCAGAGTTCTGACTAAGTCCTTATGCATCGAAAACCAAGCAAAAGAAACAATTATTCCATGTTATCACTATTGTGCCACTTCTTAATTACCAGTTGTGTTAAAGCTTAGGGATTTCTGTGTGTTGTCTTTCAATCGGCAAAAGGTTTTAAATATCATCAAATAAGTGAATGAAAAAAAATAGACGATGCAAGTTTCACTTGAGTTTTAATTTAACTTATTGGCATCGAGCGTATTATTCTATGAAAAACTATTTTTCTGACTGGAATACCGAAATTTGATTGGCTAATTCAGCAGTTGGTGCATATTAAAGACAATAAACAGAATTCACCTTTAATAGATTCACTCTCTACACGTAAACATGGATCGTTAAAATAATAAAAAAAGGTTGTCTGAACTCTTCTTTTCTGTCTAGCCTGCAATGAAATGGTACGATTATCATTAACGATCGATATTGTCACAGTAGCAGTAGTACCATGTTAGCAACTATTCACGATATGGAGATGTAACCGAACTGTTTAATCTGATGAATTATTAGATGTTATTTTAGAAACTGCCTCCAATCTAGTTCAAACAAGTCTTCTGGGTACCTCGAGTGGTAATTTAAGAGTGTTTTGGGGTGCGTTTCTCGTTGCCCAAACGCATATCATTGCTCTAGGACTGGTCTTCAACGGTACCCCGGCTAACAATCGAAAGTGGAGTGGTTGAGGGCGTTGAACACTTCACTTACCTGAGAAGTCGGATCAACCCTGGTGGGTTGATCAGTGGTCAACGAAATCGCCGCACGGATACAAAAGGCTTGGTTGGCTTTTGTCAACTTACGCCATCTGTGGAACCGCTGCGATATCCGGCCGTCTATTAAGGAGGGGGGTGTACTATGCTACAGTCCGCTCTGCTCTCCTGTATGACTGTGAAATATGACGATCCAAGGTAGATGACAGGAGAAGGCATCAGGTGTTTGACCACCGTTACCTTCGTAGCACACACCGTATTTCGTGGTATTACCATGTGAGTAATGCAGAAGTGAGGTGTAGTTTCAGGGATGAGAAGTAAGACAGATGATACTGTTGTGAAGCTTGACCGACTGAGATGTCTGGCTGGGACATGTGTTATGTATGTCTAACCACCATCTCTCTCGTCACACAATGTTGGTCGAAGTAGGTTCAGACTAGAAATGGCATGGGGCGGCCATTCTATTCGCTCTAGGTAATATGGCTCATATATCCATACACATTATCTTCATCTTAACCACTCTACCTAATGTAATCTTTTTCTCAATCCTCCCTCCTCATTCACTGTTTTCTGTTTCATTCAACCGGTTTTCTTTCCTTCTTCATCTTCCATTTTATTGCCTTGTTACTTGATGTGAGATGTGGCAACTTGGACCGGTATGCAGTAATGCCTGGTCGAATGTTGATCTTGATAATGATGGTGATATTGGCATGTTACTTAAATTGTACCTACGCAAAAACATAACATTGCAAATCAATGCAAACGGTTCGGGAGTGGAATCCAGGACGTGCGTTTCCACTTATTTCGCGTTTAAAGTGGTCGGTCTACGGTTCGAGTTTTAGTGGGAACAACACCGCTCACTGGGGTCGAGATATATCCAACTGATGAGTTTTAAATAGGACGAAACGCGCATCCTGGATCTCACTACTAGCCAATATCCATCTTGCTTCCAACCACTTGATAACATTCATCCATTTATTCTATCCTCTCGTTTCCCTTTGCCTACTTTAATGTCATTCTTCTACTATTGATTTCCTTCTTTGTATATTGCTGTGAAGCACAGCAACTTGAACTGATGTCTATCTATCTAACTTATACGGGTTTTTATAGGATCTGGAATATGATGATGGTGCACCTCCTCCGGATCTTATCATCGATAAATGGTTTCAACTGATCATGGATGTGTATCAACAAGGTTTAGGAAGTTGTATAGCTGTGCATTGTAAAGCTGGATTGGGCAGGTGAGTTTGAATAGGAATGATTAAAGAGTTTCTATACTTTTTCGATTTATTTTAACCTTGACTGAGATAATTCATAATTTATCATGCTTACTAATTGGTGTTTTATCGTACACTAATCGTTTATTGGATAGTAATTGTCAGCTGCTGATGAGAACTTATACAGTGTATAACCACTAAGCTAAGTAACATGACATTACGCTGCACTTTGTTTGGCGATGGTTGCTTCGAGACAGTCGGTAGATAACACAATCAGCGTTCAACTTCGTACACAAGTGCATAACCTCAAGTTGACACACTTCACAGTAGTAAACAAAGAACAAGTGCATAGAAAAAGTCTCATGTCATAGTCGTGTGAGACTATAAACAATCTGAGGTTAACGGTTAGTGCAAATATTCAAGCTTTGAAAGATGTTAAGGATTGAATACATTGGTGCCAATATGACTGATTCTCAACCATATCACCAAGAGCCCTAGACCACTGATTCTCTATGTTCTCAAAGACCCCAGTTAGGTAGTCTATATCTCCGACGCGGCTAAGACTAACAGTCAGGGGATTCATGGACTTGTCCTATGTCTTGATCTTACCACCTTTGGACACTCTTCCAACTTAATCCAACTAGCTTGACATGCGTAACACATGTCCAAGCCTTTTGAGTCGACATGGGTTCACAACGTGATCAATCGACTTGCCTATCTTCACTAGTACGCTCTGTCTTACGTCAACATTTCTCACATGGCGGTGATTCTACCATACGTGACAAATGCAATGGAAACTCTTATGATCAAAACCCTGTAATTGCTTCATGTCTTTCACTTTTAACGACCATGTCTCATAGCTGTGTAGGAGGACACAACAGGGTGTAGTTAGTGCCACAGATGACACAAGTTGACAAGTGCCAAACGCGCCTACTGTATCCGAGCTGCTGAGATTTCGTCAGCAATCAGCCCGTCTCGGGCTGATGGTACTGTCCAAGTGAATAAAGTGGTGGATACATTCCGCCACTTCACTAGGAGTATTTGCAGGGTAATCCTCACTTTTGCAATGTACGAAGGGCATGCCAAACATACTGAGATTTCAGCTCGTCACGTTCAAAACGGTGTGAATGTTGTCAGCGTCTTCACTTAGTGAGATAATATCTTCTGCACACAGTCCTGGATATATAAGCATCGCCTTTTACTGACACTCACTTCGAAGACATACCTTTAAGATGTGAACCTGAATTACGACGTGACTTTGGTGAACGCGAGCAAACTTGAAATAGTCATCTAGAGTCACCTTATATTACTTAAAGAGAGCTGTTTTAAATTCCCAAGTGACTGCATACGGACGTATTCTTATGTACTATTCATATGCTCACAGTTTTCTTTGTTTGCATAATCGAAGGTGAGTGTTTTGAAATTACTCTTGAAACTGTGTTTTTTGCACTTCTTTTCAGAGCTCCTGCTTTGGTTGCTGCTGCTCTAATTGAACTTGGTCTACCATATGACGAAGCAGTAGAAATGATCCGGGGGTAAGTCTATTTCTTACCTTTAAACTTTCACTATACAGTATCTCCATCACATAGTAAACTTAGTGTATAGAAGAAAGTGCATCATAGTGGTGTGGATCTACGATTCGGAGAACTGCTATTCGACTTTGAATATGGGAACAATATCGTCTCACTGTGCGAGAATACACAGGCTGTTCGAACCGCACTTAATGAGTTGAGGATTACTGTACCCTGAGCTAAGTATGGTATATGCGTTTTACATCATCGAAGTACAAAGTACTCTTGCAAGATTGACAGGAGGAGCCTGTATCTGTGCTCACCCTTGATGGTGAGCCTTTGGAAGTGGTCGAAAAGTTGTTTGTGTATCTGGGTAGGTGTGTGGGTGATGAAATTTGCAACCGCATATGAAAAGCCAGAGTGGCATATGTGTCAATCCGGAACACCTTTGGCGCCATTGCGACGTTAGTGTGACCTTGGAAGGTTGGGTTTACAATGTTTCAGTGTGAGCAGTTCTGCTGTCCTCCTCTCTGAGCTGAGGATGTGCGACGACTCTGTGTGTGTGTGTGTGTGTGTGTGTGTGTTCGATCACCGTTTTCTCCATAGGATTTCTCGTGTTGAGTGGCAACACGATGTAAGTAAGTAAGTGATTCTGAGGTACGACAGTGTGTGTTTGGGTATGAGGGAGATCGTCATTCACTGAGTGAATTCATCTGTAAATACAGGCTTCGATGGCCTGAACATGTGTTACACATGTCATCCCGACAGCTTTTATGCCGTCCATTGTTTGCTAACCCTGAGACTGTATGGCATAAACGGATTGTTGTTGAGTGTATGACGTGACGCCGTGGAATGAAGGATAGTTGTATTGGGTTCGGATCTGTTGGTTGACACGACTGTTTGGTTTTGGTCGGAGAGATGAGACAACTCAGTGACTTGAGACGTTATGAGATATGTGTGAGAATCGAAAGTGGTGGTGGTGGTGATGATGATGCTGTATCTTCCTTCTACTATCTTGTGTTGTTGAATAGTGATGAATGCACGTTACTGGATCCCCCTTTCTAATCATCCTATTCTTATTATGTTTTTCATTTTTATTCGTCTACTTTCTATGGTTTTATGTCTTCACAATGTTGTTGTCTTACTTTGTGTGGCGCATTTTTAATGCCCTTATCGTATTGGGTTTTGTTTTCAAAAATAAAATTAAATAACTTAGAAACAAAATTTCATACACCTACTTTATATCTTCAACAACAAGCTACCACCAACACTTTCGAAATGATCAATTTTTATCACTAGAGTTACTCCTTTCTTTTGTAGAGTTTTTTTTCCGGTGACTACAGTACAAAAAAGGGTTCTGCGATCTATTTTTTGAGCGTACCCGGAACGACTGCTTTTGGACGTTCAGTGGTAGACAAAGTTGGATTGGTAGGGAGAGCTTTCAGGTTGGTCAAACGAAGTCGTCTGACTGTTGATCTGTGTCATGTGAGATGTGAGCTGCGCGTAACTGGTATCTTCAAGAACATAGGGAATCAGTTGTCTGGGTCTCTTGATGACATGGCTCGGAATCGGTGATAATGGCACAGCTGTATTCACTATTAAACACATTTCAAAGGTGGAATATTTTACACTAACCGTTAACCTCAGATTGTTTATTCCCGCACACAAATTTGTTTACTACTGTGAAGTGTGTCAACTTGAGGTGATGCACTAGTTTGCGAGGTTCATGCCTTGATTTTTTCTTCTCTCTCTGAACTGCCGTGTAGTACATTAGAAAAGCGATATCAGATGATCAAATCATGAAACTTGACTTTTAAGGATGTTATACCTTTGATAATTAACTTTCTATTCTCAATTTTCACAAATTTACCTTGCCCAGAATTCGATTATTCTTTTTTCCTCTTTTTCCCGCTCCTTGTTTGTTGCTCAATCAAATTTCGCCGCTTTTTAGGGCGCTGTTTTCTGCCTCTTGATTAATCTTCCATTTTTAATATGCTTATATATCTATACCCTTCCCCCTCCATCTCCAGGTCGCTCTCAGTGTATATTAACGCGAAAATTGTGTCATTAGATCTAATATTGTCTTCTTGTGTCAGCTGCTGAGCAAGTCAACAGTTATCATATTGTTCATCAGGTAGCTAGATTCCACGTCTTCACCTAACCGTATCGAAGCATCGCAACATGAACATATAATAGTGCTTCGTCTTCAATCCTAACCTTGTTCACCATATTTTTCCGGATGAATGTGTTGATATTGAAAGCGCCGCCGTGATATCTGGTTGTGTCTATTAAGGGTTGAGTGAACTATGCTACATTCCACTCTGCTCTCCTGTATGGCTATGAAATATGACGATCCAAGGTAGATGACAGGAGAAGGCATCAGGTGTTTGACCATCGTTACCTTCGTAGCACACACCGTATTTCGTGGTATTACCATGTGAGTAATGCAGAAGTGGGTGTAGTTTCAGGGATGAGAAGTAAGACAGATGATATGATCGACTGAGAAGTCTGGCTGGAACATGTGTTATGTATGTCTAACCACCATCTCTCTCGTCACACAATGTTGGTCGAAGTAGGTTCAGACTGGAAAAGGGCTTGAGGTGACCAGACTAAAACATGGCATCAATGTATGAAGTCTCTGACTGTTGGTTTGAGCCATGTAGGGCGATGCAGACTAACCGGTTAAGGTCTGCGGGACAAGAGAAATTAGTGGTTATTGGAGAGTAGGTGATATGGTTGTGAACCGATGTCAGCGGCGCAGGTTTATCCTCACCTTAACCGCTACACTGAATCTTATCATTTTCTCAATCCTCCTTTTTCTCTTTTACTACTTTCTACTTCTCTTGACCGATTTGTCTTTCCTTCTTCACCTTCCATGTGCTGATATGAGATGTGGCAACTTAGACTGGTATGTCTGATCCAAAGTTGATCTTGATGATTATGATGGTGATATCGAAGACGAGACTCTTTTCTACTCATTGTTAGCGTTATATTTTCGAGCCCCAACGGTTATATATTCCGAACGAGTATAATACCCACGCTCAGCGAACGGCTAACTTAGTACGCAAGAGCCACTGACTGCAACCCCGAGACGAATAGAGAGAAGACCGAAGCTGGATGATAGGAGAGTTTATTCCTCCGAGAATATAATAATAATAATCAACCAATCGCAAAACATGTGAATAAGTGCACACATGAAAATTGACCTTGTCTGCAATTTGAGACGTTGGGGGCAGAAAATAAACTACCAGTCATACCGTAAGAATAGTGTGAGAATGCCGAGTCAAAAATGTTTAGATCAGCAACAATGTTTTATGCAAACTGGGGCCTTACAACACCTCCCCTGTTTGAGACCGCTTCCGATCAGCACATCTGGGTAGAGAGGCTCCTTGTTGAGTTTGGGTTCTGGCTTTTTCATCGCCGTTGGTAAATTAAACGTATCCAGCAAAATATCAAGTGGTATGGTTGGATTCTCTGGTTGATTGGCTTTTCTGTGGCACATCTGATTCTTGTGTCTCTCGTTAGGTGCAGGATACTCACTTATAAGCCTTAAAAGTGCGTCTGCATGTCCAAAGTCCTCTGTTCGGCGATGTTTGATATCGAAATCATAGCCCAATAATGTTGCTGCCTACCGTTCAAGCCTGTTGGCGAAATGAGCTGGAACACCGCGTTTTGACTCAAAGATTGAGGGGAGGGGCTTGTAACCGGTAAACAAGGTGGCTTACCGTCCATACAATATCTTGTGAAAGCGTCTGGCTGCGAAATCTAAGGCAAGTCCTTCCTTCTGTATCTGTGAGTAGCACTTTTCTGCTGACGTGAGTGATCGAGATGCATGTATGACAACTTTTTGTGAACCATCCGGATATTCGTGCAGTAGGACAGTCCCTACACCGGCGGTTGAAGCATCTATGGTTATGACGATTGGTGGCTGTGGGTTATAATGTGTTAACAGGAGATCAGAGCTGAGAGTGGACTTAAGTCGTTCTATAGCAGTTTCACATTCTCTTGACCAGGACCATACCGCATCCTTGCGTAGGAGACGATTTAAAGGCTCCCGTATATCATGTAGGGAGGGCAGGAACGCTGCATAGTAACTGATGAGACCAAGGAAGGATCGGAGAGTCGCGACATCTATTGACGTGGGCATCTGCCGTATAGCCCTAATGTTTCCAGGATCGGAGCATCTACCAGATACATCAGAGATGAAACCTAAATATTTTACTGACTTTAGAAAGAATTGACATTTCTCCCTTGTAAGTCGAAGGCCATTGTCTTGGATTCTCTGTAGAAACAACCGTATCCGATTCATTACTTCCACTGGACAGGTAGCAACTATTATGACGTCGTCGAGGTATGCAGTAACACCTGGTATGCCTGCTAGCATAGTCCCCATGATCTGTTGAAAAATAGCGGGGACAGAAAATAAACTACTAGTCATACCGTAAAAATGATGTGAGAATGTCAAGTTAGAAATGTTCGGATCAATAACAATGTTTTATGAAGGACTGGGTTCTTACAACGGTTAGTTAACTTCTGTACACTAATCTCTTTCATTACTCTGCTTGAGTTTTATGCTGTGAAGCGTTGAAAAGTGAATCCACTAGCTCATCGTTGGCACCAGGTGTATAGTTTGTGCAAGGTTGTAACGGCAAATAAGCTTATGTGCCTTGGTGTCAGATATCTCAACTGTCAAGTGTTTTTTTTACTTTCTGCACAACTCATTGTCTCGAGATCCCTATATTTATCCCACGTTTTACTACGTCGAGTCTATGACTCACCAATAGGCTTTCAGCTCAAGGTGAGATATCTGCAACCGTTTAACCCCAGTAGTCTTTATACAATAGGATAGGAAGACTGATTGACTCACTATCCTTTTATTATGTGAGATCTGAGTTGTCCATGCATATGCAACTGAACCACGTATCCACAAAGCACCATAATCCAGAAAAAATGAGATAACTGTCTGCATAGGAAACGAAATAATGTACACTTATTTCAGGATTCGGACAGAAACAAACGAAAGGGTTAATATGAAAAGCTCTACTACGAAGCTGTGTAATAATACCGTAAAACAAGTATTAAGTACAATGTCTTTTAAAAGAAAGTATGATACTGCTGATTCGTGTTCTCATTTTTTCGATCTGTCATGATTAAAACCTAACTGTAATCCAAAGATGAATACATACCGACAAAATCCATGTAGAACCTCGAAAAGGAGTGCATCGGTTCCAGCTGCCACGTCTTACAGGTAATATACAAAGAATAAAATGGTGCATAGAAAAAGTGATATCAGAGTAGACAAAGTTGTGTTAGAGAATGAACGATCTGAAGGCAGTGATTAGTACAAATATTCAAGTTTCAGAAGACATGAAGGGGTAAATGCATCTGCGCCATTGTCAGGGATTTTCAGCCATGTCACTAGGGTTCTCCAAACTTTTATTCCTTTACTTCCGGAGCACGACACAGACTAACTGTCAGGAAACTCATGGACTAATACCACGCCTTGATTTGATCACTATAAACCTTTTCTCTTCTTACGTAATCCAACTTCCCCTAGTATGGCACGTTGTGGTAGACGGTGGGTTGGGATGCGCGATACATGTCCAAGCCACCTCAACTAATGAAGGTTCACAATCTGGTCAATTGACTTGTCAACCTGTCTTTCCTAGTACTCTTCAACATTGCCAACATGGTGGGGATTCCACCGTACGCGAGCAATTTTACGAAGATGCCTATGATCAAATCCCTGTGATCGTTTCATTTCTTCAACTTTCAATGGCCATGTCCCACCGGCATATGGTAAGATGGGACAAATTGTAGTATAGATAGTGGGACATCTCACCGTCACCACAAGTGATCCAAGTTGGCAAATCCCAAATGGGTTTTCTTTATCTGAGCTGAGATTTCGTCAGCAACCAGTCCGTTTGACTAGTGCAACTTTCCAAGTAAGTGAACTGGTTGATGCATTCTACTACTTCACTTTTTATCATTAAAATGGGAGTACTTGCAACAGACGATTCCTCCAGCATCGTCTTGGATTTGACTAGTGACTGTGGAATACATGCCAAAAATACTCAGATTTCAGGTCATTGTGTTCGGAAGACAGCTATTTTGTCAACCTACTCCAAGTCAACCAGATACCGTCCAGAGAGTAGGTCAGACGCTTCTAAGGTTATGTCCACTAGTAAGTCTATAACGAAGTTAAAATGGAAGGGTGACAATGAGCATTCCTGACGGACACCATTAGTTGTTATCAGTGCAGATGACAACTCTCCATACGCCCCGACACTCAAACACTACCACAATAACTCAATCAACAAAGTCTCTTCGTGCAATCTATTTGTTCTAAGGTAAGCGCGCTCAAGTTTAACATTCAACATAGACTGTACTTCTTTATAATGCAATGAAATTAATTTTAGTCTTGGTATTCATCATGATCTAACAGCATTTAAAGAACTCTAGTGTGCTCACTAGTGAGGTTTTTTAAGATGAGATTTCCCCAAGTTCGGATGAGAAGTCGCGACCATCAATGGGACCAACCAAGTTGAACGTGGCAGAAGTGGGAAATATGGACTATTGGATTTGCGACTCAGTTAGACTGGCTCAATAGTAAGTTGCTGCTGGCTGCAGAACCTGAAGGTCCTGGATTCGACTCCCTGGCGGTGTCATGGGTGCACACTGCTGAAGAGTCGCGTACTTACCCGTGATGATAAATACCAATCGAAGATTGGATTATAGTAAAACAAAAAAGAAAACTGGGAGCACAAATTCCGAAAAAATCAACCGTCAAATGAATGAATGATTAAAATCGGAAAAAAATTAGGTCATGAACTGTGTTTAGTTGAATTTTTTTTAAATTTCGAGAAGAAAAGCACCCATCTAAAAGTACATTTGAAAAGTCATTTAATATATACCAATAATTACAAAGATTCTAAGTAATTTTCATCTTCACTAGTTAGTCCCAATGCGTCCTTCATTGCATTAAATTTTTTTTAAAATTGGTCATGATTACTTTTTGATGATTGACAAAAAACTGAAGAGGATAATTATGAACAACAAGCTTAGTATACTTGTTGTTTTCCATTCAGCTCCAGCTAAATTACTGATCAGCTGATGATGATTGCCTTATTCTTAAACAAAATCTGATTATTTCACTAATCGACCTGTTTAACTGAACAAAAGGGATTCGTATTTTTATTAGAAAATACCAATTATGATTGGGATTTTTTTCTACTTCCTTTGATTTTCCTATTTAAAGTAGTAGTAATTACATAATATTATATGCGTAGGGTAAAGATTATTTTGCTTATTGATCCCTCATCACGTGAAGGACAACAGTTACACGTTGTTATTGTAGCTTTTCTCCATTAAAGTTCATGTATCATAACAGTAGTAAATGATATCTCATACTTGCGTAACTTAAACGCTCCAATCCCCAAGATTATTTTTAGAGGGATTAATACGAACCTGTGCTTTTTATTTATGTATGTATGAAATGTGTAAAATGTGAAGTCCAAAGTACTTTTGCAAGATTAGGGGGGGAGCCTGTAAATACGCCCACCTTTGGTGATGGTAAGCCGTTGGAAGTAGTCGAAAAGTCGTAGGTGTATCTGGACAGTTGTATGAGTGGTGAAATTTCCAACCACATATGAAAAGCCATTAGGGCGAACCTACCAATTACTCGTGTCCAGTGGCAACACGATGTAAGTAAGTAAGTGATTCTGAGGTACGACAGTGTGTGTTTGGGTATGATGGAGATCGTCATTCACTGAGTGAATTCATCTGTAAATACAGGCTTCGATGGCCTGAACATGTGTTACACATGTCATCCCGACAGCTTTTATGCCGTCCATTGTTTGCTAACCCTGAGACTGTATGGCATAAACGGATTGTTGTTGAATGTATGACGTGACGCCGTGGAATGAAGGATAGTTGTATTGGGTTCGGATCTGTTGGTTGACACGACTGTTTGGTTTTGGTCGGAGAGATGAGACAACTCAGTGACTTGAGACGTTATGAGATATGTGTGAGAATCGAAAGTGGTGGTGGTGGTGATGATGATGCTGTATCTTCCTTCTACTATCTTGTGTTGTTGAATAGTGATGAATGCACGTTACTGGATCCCCCTTTCTAATCATCCTATTCTTATTATGTTTTTCTTTTTTATTCATCCACTTCCCATCGTTTATGTGCATCGACTTAATCCCCCACACTTAACAGTAGTATATAAAGAACTGGTGGATACAGTAAAAGTGATATCCAAGTGGACAAAGTTGTGTGAAAGAATAAGCAATTTAAAGATGAAGGTTGGTGCGACTATTCAAACTTGAGAAGACGTCAAGGAGTGAATACATCTGCATTATTGTCACCGATTTTCGACCATATCACTAGATTTTATCAACCGTTGGTTCCTGTCGTCTTGTTGACCCTAACCAGGTAGTGTACATCTCCCCACATGACTCAGATTAGTAGTAAGAGACGCCGTCAACTGGTGCCATGTCTTTGTTTGACGACCCTTAACCCTCTAACTTCCCCTACCATGGTATTTTGAGGTAGGTGGTGGCTCAACATGTGCATTCCAACTCAGTCGACTAAGGTTCACAATGTCATCAGTTGATTTGCCGGTCTGTCTTGCCTAGTACGTTTCCCTTTACCTTAACACTGCTCACACAATGGTGATTCCACGTAACGGGAGTAATAGTATGTTGGCACAGATGATCAAAGTCCTGTAACCGTTTCATGTCTTCAACTTCCAATGGTCATGTCAAACATGAACTGATAACTTCATCAGCTAAAAGTATTTACATCGCATGGACTCGCCTGTTCTATAAACTGAATATCTAGTACTTCATTTCGTAGCGCTGTGTAGTTAAGCGGTATGGAAATTGAAATGGAGTTAATCGCCTTATACAGATCAGTGCAGTAGGTAGTGATGCAAAGCTATTTTATGAGGGCTTATGATTGTCGAGATCTTATTCGGTGGAGCAATTTCTAAATCCCCAACCCACTGGTCGAATTCAACTGTTACAGTTCCATAACGGTATGTAAAGTTGCTTTTTATTCTTTATAATATGAGATTGCAGAATTACTTGTTTCTTAAATCATATCCACGCCTTCACTAAGAGTATATATGTTTATGGAAAGAAGTAACATCCATTTTGTTCAAATAATTTTAGTTACACTCTCCCGGGAAATGTATGCATCAACTGTATGTAGTATGATTGTTTTTGTCACTGTCAGAATGTGTGGATGCCTAACTTGCTAACTTGTATGAGGCTGCCTCATTAACCCGAACACTTAACTTCCAACTAGTAGGCCATGGGTTCGAACCCCACTCCGCCTGTCGAGGCAGCATGATTAGCCCGTCATACACACACAGTAGGTATGACTCATTGCCCACTACAAGATGCTCATTTATAAAGCACGTAGTACATATTATTGATGAAGTATACAAATACCATACCGTTCTCAGATGGATGCTGAGTACAACCAATTTTGTAACTGGGATTCATTCATCAGTACTGTTTCCCACTTGTCTTTGTTGCTATATTCGCCTAATTCTAGACTGTTTCTTCAACTTATTTCATTTTACTTTTTCCTGCTTAATTTTGTTTTGTCTCTATTGTAGACAAAGAAATGGAGCTTTAAATGCCCGTCAAATTCAGTACTTGAAAAATTTCCGTCCAAGAAAACGCCTACGAAATATCAAGTCACAATCTGATCGATGTCAGATCTTATGAAGTCTAGCAATAGCCGAAATCATCATCGGTTGACCCGTGGTGATGGTGGTTGTCTTCAGCACTACATATTTATCAGGAATTGTAATAGTAATATTGTCATCGTCTGTGTATGTTTGTGTTGTGATACTGTCTGTCTTTCTGTATCCGTTATCATTATCATGCTTTCTAGCTTAGTTATTGCTTAATTTCAAGCGCATAAGTGGTTCTTATGTTTATTTGTTAAAGTCTGTTTCATTTTGTCTCTGTTATATGAATATGTTCATGTGATTGCAATTAATTGGATTACTTAATTATAATCTGTGATGATCGATTGACAAGTAACGTACACTTACTGCCAGTATCTAGTATAGTACACCTTACTAAGACAATTCATCTCCTCTGTTGCTGTGTGTATGGGTGTTTGCCAGCCACCGACCTCACACTATTTAGGCGTGTGCATTCCTTTATTTATTCATATTAAAATGGACTATAAAATAGCACTGCTATTCTACGTGATACATGCACACACACACACACTATATAACTGCTTAGTACTAATATTTTTCATCTGTGCGCGTCCTATAGCGTTGCACAACTTTCCTTTTCTATGTGCGTGCGTTAGTTTTTCAAGAGAATCAAGTCGAAATCTCACTGAACAAATTATTATTATCTTGATATCAAATGCCATACTTTGTTTGGCGTCGTCTACCATCCAGTATCATATGGTTATCACAAATAATGATAATGTGGTAAGACTTATCAAAGTTAATTTATTATCCAACTTGATATATGATATTGATGCAGTGATATCTAGTAATCTGTCGATAAATTCTATCATATGACTGTTTTCTCTACATTTGTTTCGAGTTTATCTCATGAGTATGATTCATTTCTCTGGTGAGTGAATAACAGTGAAATTGTACGTGTAAGATCCAAGTAAAAGCAGTGAGTTAAGTAACACAGCATTACTGTTGATTAGTTCCCAGTTACACTGTTTCTATGATTGTCTGTCATGATGTTAAGGGGATTCTTACTTAAATGTGTCGTCTTCAATGACCACCTTTAAAACTTTCTAATGACAAAGTGCCTTTTTCATGTTTTGAACAACTATTGACGAGTCGTTACTGTGCTGTGTAGTTAAGGTCAGGTTTTTCGCTGTCGCATTCTAACTTGCTTTTGAGCGATACATCTGTCTCATGTCCGTGTTCTGCATCTTCATTGAGGTATACTTTTTTCCACCTGATTTCCTTATTACATAGTAAGATCACCAAATCTGAAAAATCGTTCCCTACCATCTCAAGTTTGATACAAGTTATACTCACTGCTAATTGGTTGATTATATCACTCTTTGCCCACTAAGATTTCTCCTCAAGCAGCTCGTCTCTGTAATGATTAGACTAAAATGCTGGTAAATACTCCCGGACTTTTGGTCTTAGGCGTGTAGAGAGATGTAGACTGCTTTGTTGGGATCCCCAGGGCAACCGGGATTGGCGGTTGAGGACTTTGGAGTGACATGGCTGAAAATTGGTGACAATGAAGCAGATATATTTACTCTTTGACATCTTCCAGAGCTTGAATATTAACGCTAACCTTTATGCTCAGATTGTTAATTCTCTCGCACAACTTTGGTATCAGCGTTTTCCCGTCCACCACCATACTACTGTGAAGTGTAGCAGTTATGTGCGCGCTTCAACCTTGATCTTATCTGCATCCTAGTAACTACCCTTCTGGTGAGACGTGTATGACAAACACTCTTTCTGGGAATGCTGTCACCTTTCTACTGCCTCTGGTCAATAACTTATTTATTGTCCATGCGTCGACTACACTAAAGAGTTCTCCTTAAAAGGTGTGTGCTTTAAGTGTGTAACCAGGTAGGATTTTTATCACCAAAATGCATACTTTGGATGACTTTTTGTAAGCTGCGAATGCTAACTGACGGATTGTTTATCGAAGGTGTGAAGCTGTCTACACCTTGTCAGGGAATCCATTGAAACTCGACTGTTTCGCCTATGTCTAGTTTATCAAAAGGAGTAAAACGTTTGTAAGATTGTATTTCACTGTTAACCTGACTCTAGTGCAATATATTTTCTACGCTCACGGAGTTTGTATGCACCATTTTGTTGCATACTACAACTCCTTTAGGTAGAACTGCTTATTTAACAGTCGAAATTTATTACGGGACATCTAAGTTTTGTACGTTACTTAAGAGCTGTGGCAGAATGGTTTAGAAATATGAGTATCACGGATTCGAATGCCTCTCCACCTACCAAGGTGGTTTGGTCAGCCAGGTAAGATCATTAGCCCTCATATAATAGGTGCGGCTTATTAACACCTACTACACAATATTGATGATTGCATTTCATTATTCAGTTACATAAGAATCGATGTATGTAAGTTGTTTTTGGGGCTTTACTATTAAAGAATATTCACTTGTCAATCCGTCTTCGTTTCATCTCGACATTAAGGCAACTATCTTGGGTTGGCTTTCGTGCATGCGGTTCCGATATGTTTCGCACTTACATTTCCACATATACTACTCATAACCGCATATATTTTTAGGCAGACAAGTGGAATTCTTTTTGCAACACTGACTTTGTTGGCTTGGATAGAATGCGGAACTTCTAAAAGTATCTGTTGACGTATGAAATGACAAGAATTCTAGATACGTTCTGGAATTTGTAGGTTACACCGACTACTCAGTAGTAGACGCAGTTCAATTACGGGGAGGTTGAAAATGAACAAGGAGAATTAGCTATATTGGATCGCAGAATGAAACGAAGAACAGATGGTGGCTCAGATACTACAGGAAACCGACACATACTAACAGATTTCTAGGTCATCTCGTCCAATGTGATTTAAGACGGGTTTAGTCAAATATCTAAATAATAGAGATAGAAAACTCACTGGTCAGTGCAAGAGATCGAAACCCAAGAGACGTTACAAATTATCCTCTACAGTTTATCAAGAAATTCCTAAGACACGAAATAATAACAGTAACCGGCGTAGAAAGGAGTTCACAGTCTCCATTGTGTTACCGTTTAAAGAAGATACATCAAAAATTCTACGTAGGATCCTCAACAATGCTGGAATTAGGGTAGCGTTTAAATCTATAAACTCATTCAGAGATTAACTTTGCCGACCTAATGATTTGATAGACCCAGTTAAGCAAAATAATCTTATCTAAGAAATTCTATACCATAACTGTGGTCAAGTACATAGGTTAAACTAGCCGGTTGGGGTCCGTTAGATTTTTGAAACATGAGAATTTAACCAAATATAGAATGATAGGTCCGCTTAAGATCAATAATCTGGACAAAAACTCGCAATGCATGCATCCACATAGTAGGTTGAGATCAAACCACTGTACTTAAATCTAGTTTGGTGGAGAAAGAGTGACTACCCACTCTTTGTTCATCGAATCAACACACGCAGCACCACCAGAAGTCTCATACGATTGCTTCCCTTCACCAGTTTTAGCAAAGCTAGGACAACAAGTTTTGCAGAATACTACTAATGCATTATATTTCTTCGCCTTTCTAATTCTATATATACAATTCACTTGTCAAGAAGTTGATAGTTTATTGATGATAGATAATGAAAGAATTCATACAGAGAAGGAAGTTTGAATGAAATAATTTATGATTACTAAACTGTAAGCTATCTAATGCTTATGTAGTGAAAAAGTGTCATCTTGCTACATATGATCAGTCAGAAATTATGATTTAGAAAGCGCTTGCAGTTTGACAGACAACGTTGTGAATAACATCGAGTCACGAAAAAGAAGTTGAACAACTATCATTCCTAGGTGTTTTAGTAGAACAAATGCCATAAAATTGGTAACTGAAATATTCAGGAGGTCAACCCACACTGATATAAACCTCAACCGCAGTAGCGACAGCGCACAAAATAACTTGCTTCCAGATTCTTCAGACGAGCGATCCTCCTACGGTAAATAAAGAATGTATCAGAGATCACGGGCAAGACTACTTAGACCACTTGGAATTGGTGTGGCTCATAAACCAACGAATTTTCTCTAAACCTTATTATGCAGATCAAAGGACGCAACAATTAAAGAGGACAAACTGAAAATCATGTACAAAATCAACTACAGTAACTGCAATCAACGTTACACTGGACAAAGTGGTCGGCCTCTTCGCCTTCGTTTACATTTATACCAATTGGATATTAAACGTCACTACATTTCATCACTCAATTCAATGCATGTGGATAACAACTATAGGCATGAATTCAATTTTGGTAACGTAGAAATATTGGATGAGACGAAACAAAGAATATCACGGAATTCCTAGAAGCTTGGCATTCAGGTCAGTCAGCAATCAATAGATGTATAGACAGATCCAATCTATCAACCAATAAGAAAAGAGATGTGATAACAAGGTCGGATGTCGGGCAGGGAAACAGCCAATAGGTGAATTTATACAGTCAGTTAATGGCACGACAATCAAAAGAAGCAACCAACCAGTTGACCAGGACAAGCCACTGAGTCACAGAGATATTGACAGCTAACTTCATATTGAAGTTAGTACTAATGATGTCTAGAAAGGCAATGAAAACTGCTCCATGATTGACCAACCTAGCTCAGGGGACACACCGCAGCCAAAATCATCCATCTGAGTTACAAATATCCTCCACCAGTGTGGGATTAAAAGTATCACAACCTTTTGGTGATGTGCTTGTAATTCTCCATTGTTTTACTGGGTCGAACTATTAGACCTCTGATGGTATATGAGCTCCTGTGTGAATGCCTGAATATTTATTACGGTAATTTGCTTGGTTATAGCCGGCAGAAAAATCTAGGACGCAACTTTCGTCCCATTTTTGACTCATCAGCTAAATGTGCCTGCACCCCAGTAAGTGATATTGTTACACTGATGGGACTCGAGCCTTGTACCCATCGATTCAAACGTCCATTAGACCACTGAGGTACGCTAGCCACCTCATATACAACTGGTATTAGTTATGACTTTTTGTTAATGTCTAAGCCATCTCAGTTGACTAAG